CAACATATCCATCTACATCACAGCTCCTGCACCTAGGGCTGGGGATTGGCGAGGACGAGGAGGTGGAAAGACTGTGAGAGCCAGAAGGTCACCTTGAAATGCTCTCTTCTAGAAGCAGCTGCATCAACAAGGTGGGAACAATGGTTATAGCAATAGGCATTTTGATGTGGGAGGGGGAAGTTTTCACAGTGCCCCACCCCTAGACAAAGAACCACAGGAATCAGACGATGGCTAAGAGGAGGAGAATTAGCCTCTCTCAGAGATGAGCTCCCTTATTGGCTGTCCAACGCAGAGTGACAGTAGTCAGCCCTAAAAGTATATACACACAAACAACAAACACAGACTTAGCAGGTTGTGTGCGTGCGAGAGAGAGAGAGAGAGAGAGAGAGAGAGAGAGAGAGAGAGAAGCTATGTTATCTATGTTATGTGTTTCTAACTTGAGGGGAAGCATGGGAGAGGTTGGAGGGGACACCTGGGGAGGGCTAGAGGAAGGGATGGGAGGAAGAAAACAATGTAACTCTATTTCAATTTAAAAAATAATAATCATAACAAATAATGGGACATCGAGAAAAAGAAACAAGTGGGCAAGATTAATATCTAGCTGATGAGTATCTGCGCTGGGGAAGCACATAGGGCACATGATAACTCTCATATAATATTTTGAATATTAAACTTTCCATAGTTGTTTTTAATCTATAGAAACACTAGGAATTTTCATGGAGTAGAAGCCATAGGCTGGGTCATGGATGAGGACTTCTCGAAGACTTGCCCATCTGCCCATCTCCTCAGTTTTCAGGTTCTCCACACTTGGCCCACTGAGATGCTACACAGGGTACACTGCCTGCTTGCTGCACCCCTTACACACCAATTCCTATGACCAGTGCCCACCTGAGCCTGCACAAGGAGCATCTTCCATTCAGTGCACTGGCTGCACAAGACAAGAATCTCACCCTCTTTCCCTAGTACGTTTCCAGGACACGGCTTATGAGGCAACAGCAACAACCGCAACAACGATAAGAATCACAATGGAATTGCTAATCTGTACTGACAACAGGGACCTTAAATATACCATTGTGTCATCATTATAATCTCCCCTGAGGCTCTACAGATGAAGACTGTAAACTCAGAGAGGCCCAAGAGATACAAACCTGGGTCTACGGTGATGTCATATGTATTTTATGCCTTTGGATCTATGGGAAAAATTTGTTTTACCCAAGAACCCATATACTTAATGGCTACCATGATGAGTATGCCTGGTTCTATTGAACCATACATTTTCTCCTAGGCAGTGTCAGTATCTTTGTCCTATTCCATGTCCCTCTATGCTTGTCTAGTACAATGCATGGAAGATACTTGTGAGCCAAAGGCTGCACTGACACAGGCATTTCTGAAGCTGGGGGATGATGTGTCCCCACATCTTCTAATCCACCTGCCTGCCTTCAAAAAGAACGGAGGTAGAGCAGTCAGTGAGCTCTCTGCTCCCCACCATCTCTATTCACAAGGCCACAACACCTAAATGGTTTTCATCTTCTCCCTTCGCTGGCATTGTAAGTGACCAGAAAGAATGCTTTCTCGGGTTATTTTTACTTTGTCTCCCAGCTGTGGACTCCCTCCCTCACCTTCTTCATAGCCCTCACCCTTCCAGCCAGGAGGTAGCCATAGAGATGATGTTTCCGGAAGCTGAAGCCGGGTTGGACAAGCATTTTCTCCTGCACTGCCTTCTCTTATGTCTTTCTCTGGTCTTCCTAAACTTGCTTGATTTCTAACCTGTAATCCCAGCACTGAGGAGGCAGAGAATCCTGGAGGCTTACTGGCCAACAGCCTGGTCTAAACAAGCACAGGTGCACACACACACACACACACACACACACACACACACACACACACACACACACACACACACACACACACAGGGATGTCAATAATTCGGTTATCTTCATTTCCTTTTCCAAACCTTTCAACAACTCCCTCTAATTGTATGTCTTTCCCTTCTGGGGCCCAATTTTACATTCTATTTCTACAAGATTTTCACCCAGCCAATTCTTATGAACTAACAAGAAACAGGCTTAATGAGAAAATATGAACTCAAAACATCCGTAAGAATCTCCTCTCACCATAGCTCCTACAGTCCACAGCCGAATGGGCATTTCATTAGGGAAGATGAGAAACCTTACAGCTTTTTTCTCCAGAGAGAAACTTAATGACTATAAAGGGAGCTGGAATTTGGTGCAAGTTCTGGTCACCATGGCCGGTTCTAACTGTACTTCCTTCTTAGTTCTTGAATGCTATGTTGCTGTTAGTGTTAAGATGATACAAATTACCCACACGTGCTGTCTTGTGCCCTAGTTTGATTATGTAGGAGAGCCTCCTCTTACACACACACACACACACACACACACACACACACACACACACACACACACACCTGTCTATGAAGAGCTGGGTGGCCACATTGAATTGTGACCCATCACACAGGACTCCTTTATCTAATCATTGAGCTTTTAAGCCTTTCATTTTCTAAATTAATTTAAAAACCATGAGGAAATCGCCATGTTACTACCAAAGCAAGAATCTTGGCCACCAAACCAAATATCTAGTCATGTGTACAGTACATTAGTGTGAAGGCACACATCACAGTTTGGGATCTAAATGGAAAAATCAATGCCCTACAGGAACTCTCCAGTTGCACGGCAGAATCTACTACAGCCAATGCTGTCTTTGTTGTGCCTTCTGATTACACACACTTGTGTATTCCAGGCATTGATTTTACTTTGCTTTTTTGTAAGTTATTCAATATTCCTGCCTCTTCCAAGAAGTGTGGGCTAGGGGAGGGGCACAGAGACATTCAGCCATCAATAATACAGAGTCAACGTCCTGTCTACCTGGCCTGGTAGACAGTTCTGTGGCCCAGGGGACAAGCCTTCCAGCTGTGTGCTTCAGATCACCTGGGAACTCCAAAGACCTTTGTCCTCAGCACTATTCTCACTCTCCCAACCAGCTGCTGCTGGGGCTGCAGCTAGCATGGAAGAAGATGCCAGAATCACCCTTAAGCTAAAAAGGTACTTTGCAATCCTCCCTGCCAGATTCCTTAAAAACCTCCTTGGAACTGTAGTAGGAAAGGAACTCCCATCTCTCTCTTAAGAATGAACAATTCCTTTGCAAAGAAGCCTAACTTCTCAGGCATCCACAACAGCTAAACATAGTGCTTTCCTTGCATCTGGCAAAATAAATCTATGCATATATGTGTGTTTTTACATTTCTCCTTAGAGAAGTAAGCTTGCTTGTGTTTTCTTTCTTTTTCTTTTTTTAATCACAGGAAAGGATGTGGAACAAAACAAAGCCTTTCTGACAGCAACCACTCTGTGATGAAAATTGTTCCAACCTCTCAAAACTAGCGACACAGTCCTGCTGTAAGCCAGGCAATCACAATGCATTTATTTTGTCTAAAGGTATCTGGAGACGATATTCACATTAAAAAATTTTCCTTCAGTATACATTCAAGCACATTTACTTTCCAATGCATAGGGGGGATTTAGTGTGGTATAGGTCCTCACAATCTTTCTAAAAAGAAGTAAGGCACCCTGAAAGCATTTTGATACCAAAACATCATAAATGCCCTCCCCCTCTCACCCCAGGCAGATACCAAGAGAGCATTAAAAAACCACGTGTAAAGGACTTCCTGCAGAATGGGTAATGCTATAGCAGACCCGGGCTTTAAGAGCCCTCAAATAAATATGAGGTGAGTTAAATTTTCATGTGCACAATTGCATTTATAAGCAGTGTGTCTGCCTGCAGGTTGGTTGGTCAAGGGCACTGCCCCCACAGCTTGAGTGGTGCTATTGTGATTGCGCCTGCTGTGCTGCCTGGAGGAGGTTCTTGCTGTCCAATGCAGCCACTGTCGTTAGAAGAGCAAGGCCTGTATTTTTTCACTCTTCGCCTGCTCTCTGGCCACTTTGTTTCTAATGAACAGTTGGTGTCAGAGCCAAATCCAAAGGCTGGTACACGTGGGAATTCCTAATGCAGAGATCTGGCAAAGCTCTATTCTATTTGGCCAAAAATCCAAACAGGAATTAAACTACCTCGAAATGTAACAGCCGAGCATCTTCATTTTCTATCCCTGTTTTCATTTAGTTGGAGCAAATGTTTTTGCTTTAATGCAATTGAAAAGAAAAGAACATTTAGGGGCAACATGCTAGATCCTTCCTAAAGCTTCATTTTCAAAAGCGGTGTTTGCATCTCTAAATAAATGACAATTCATTCTCTGTTTACTTTAGGTAAACAGAAAATGCATTGCCGAGCACTCGTTTTCAAAAGCTAATCAAGAATGTTAGGTCCCAACAGATTCATTTAATAGAAATATAATAGGCATTCCTGCTTGCTTTTCATCTTGTCTCCCTGTAAATGCTAAAATGAACAGCAAATTAACCTTGCGTTGGAACCCAGTTTCATCACAGCTGATGTCCCCCTCTCTCGACAGTAAACATCCCCCCACCCTGTCACTACTGACTCCTTCTGCAGGGGAGAGACTGTGGAGTTTGGCAAGAGAGTGGAGGAATACTTGAATCCTAAAGGGAGTGCTGTGTGTCAAATGGACCATCTTTCCTATCAGAAGCAAACCCCAGCAACCACTGTCTGCTACAATAGTGCACACTTAAGGCGTAGGAGGGAGGTGGGGTGGGGTGGGGTTTTCTCCAAGCTCCATGTATCAAGTTATATTTTTAACTTTACTAGCCATTCTCCAAGTGACTGCTTATAAACTACAATACAAAACAAGCTAATAAAGACAGGGCCATTCAAGCTCTAAAATCAGATATAAAAGATTTGCAAACAACTTGAGATCTTATAATTAATATGCAGTGATATCAGAATTAGCACTTAGAACTCTATACAGAAAAATATAATATTTCATAAATTATGTAATCATGAACAAACCCTCACAAAAACTATTTTCACTGTGCTAAAGTAACATTCTAGACTTGTTGTAAGTATGTTATTCTTACAAGTAGTTCGCAGTTATTCTTGAAGGCAAGCCTTGGAGTTTCCTTAGCATAGTGCTGCTGGGGGTAAGTTTCAGCACGTCCATCTTCATCTCTAGCCTGAAGGGAAATATAACGGCCTATTTAGGGACTTACAAATAATGGAAGAAAAAAAAAAGCTAAAAGCATAACAGCTCAGATCATTAAACAAACGGGAATCCAGAAATAACAACATTATTAAGTAGTTTGTTTAAATACGCAGTATGCCTTTCAGATATCAGAATTTGAGTTTTTTTTTTCTTTGTATTGTTTAGTTTGAACATGCAGGTTCATCGTGGTGTGATAGTTCGAATGACACAAAGCAAACCAAAAGTCAACTAGTTTTGTTGGAGATCACCACCACTTGAGTGTCGCAGTGACACAGTGACATGATTCGTTGCACAATTAGGATTCTATGACATACATACGTGTTTAAACTTATTGGCATGCTTAAGCAATTTCTAGATAATGCACTTTTAAGAAATTCTAATAGCAAGGCCATAAGAAAAGCAATTTGCATATTATATTTTGAACTGCAATACTATTAGAGATAAATTGATTCCCCTCAATTTTTAAATAAAGATCCTAAAGGATCAATGATCTCATAAGAACAATGATTCTCCAATCAAATGCGGTTAAAAAATAGATTTAATTCAGAAGCTGCGTTAAAAGTTACTGGTTATTTTGATCTATGCTGTCAATTAAGAAAGCTGCCATTTCAATAGAGGCATTAACATTATCCATCAGCAACACCGAATTTGGTCCTCTCTTCCTAATCACCATTGGTCTGGAGCTGGCCTGAGGGAGAGGTGGGTGAAAGGGGTGTGTCCGCAGCACACTCATTGATCCATTCATCTGGTGACACTTGCATTCTGCAGCTCTCTCTCTCTCTCTCTCTCTCTCTCTCTCTCTCTCTCTCTCTCTCTCTCTCTCTCTCTCTCTCTCCTGGCCTCCTAAAATCCACAGCTGAGCTTGCCTCCCTCACATATGGCTTGCATATAATTATGCATATCCATTTTGCACTGCATTCAAATGATGAGCTCCTGGCCGCCTGCCAGCTGGTTTTTAAAGACCCCAATGAGGTAGGAAAGGGAGAGAAACACAGGGAGAGCCGCGCAGGAAGCAGCAGGTAGTTCTGTCTGCTGTCTCTTTAGATAAAATGTATGTCTGGCACCAAGGGAACAGCTGAGAACTACCTGTTGTGATGTATGGGTGGGTGGCGGCGTGAGCAGAGTCGGTGACACAGCAATGACAGTGCTTACGTATTATTTCTCTGACAGAGCAAAGTCTGACCTGACAAGTGTCACTTAGTGCTCCCCAGCTATGCTGTAGACTGTCATTTTAAAAGGAATCCATACTCTGCACATTTGAAAATTGTATAGCTTGTATTTAATAGAGGTTTCTGCTGCTCATCATGAGGGTTCTAGGTGGAACTGGGAAATGGAAAGACAGGGTCAGGAGAGGTTGGTTTATAACAGGTCTGTGTGGAAAGGGATTGCTCGGTTTGGGTTTCATTTTTGATATATCTTTTATGGCCATCTCTCTAATGTGGTGCCTTTTCATTATGTGGTTGTCCCCTATCAAAGCAGAGTAAAATTAAAATGTCTCCTAGGATAGGCTGAATGTGATAGAGAAAGAAGTGAGCACTGTGCCCTGTGGCCGAACAGTCAACTGAAACCAATGACACTCCTTCCCACTGCATTGAATCGGAACCCCTTTGCAGTGACGTCACAGCGCGGGATGATGGAACTCAAGGGGACACCACAGATGGGGCCCACAGTGAGTACACAGACCAAGGGCTTCTGGAAAAAGGCTCTGAGACGCCAATGGGTGACAGCAATACTAAATTCTTTATAGCAAAATTCTAAGTCACTGTTTCGAGTAATGCTGCCCTGTCCAGTGACTTACTTTTCCCTGATGAAAAATAACACCTACCTGGATAGTAACTAGATCCTATCATAAACAACTCGAGAAAATAACACTTCAAAATATGTCTTGCTTGGTGGTGGATCTATTATATTCCTGATGCACTGTGATACATATGCTCAGAAGTGCAATTTGCATATCATTTACAAGGGCTACTATTTACATATGTATGTCTATATTCAATATATATGTATCTTGTGTATAAATATTCATAAGGTGGAATATGTTTATTATGCATGTACTATGTATACACATTCATACACACCAGATGCCTGGGGATATTTTCAACATAAGTGGCAAAAATACATTCATTCCACTTACATGCAAGGTGCTCACATACTCTTTATGTGTTTTGTCCCCGTTATCTAAGATTCGAGTGTGCTTTATATGCTTCATATCAAGTCTTATCAATAGGAGATTTTGTTAAGTAGGAATAGAAGATAATAGCGAGGACTGGGGACACAGGGAAATAAAGAGAAGCCAGAAACTTGTCTTTTCGTTGAAAAACCATTGTATTAATCCCCCATATTTCCTCAGACACTCAGCTTCATTCCAGCGTCCAAGAAACCCTACCCTCCAGGGCTACTGAGATGGCTCAGTGGATAAGGCTTTTGCAGCTAAGCCTGGAGGCCTGATTCAATCCCTGGGACCCGTATGGTGGAAGGAGAGAATTGACCTCTGCACATATACCATGGCAAGGCACCAGTATATGGGTATGCACACACAGAAATAAATAAATAAATAAATAAATAAATAAATAAATAAATGATATGAAAAAGAAAAGAAATAACCCATTGTCTAAACATTTGCTGTGTTTTCACCTATGGCACAGAATGGAGACCACACAAAGTCCAAGGAATGTAGAGTCATCACCCTTATATCCACGTGCATGTGTGCCCTGACACACACCTCTCACCAAAGTGACCCACTTGCATTAGGAAGTTTTTAAATGAAATTTTAAATTATTCCTAGGTGGAATTAAGTGCATTCAACTAGGCAGTAGCCCTCTACCCTGGTTGTGTATTAGAACCATCTTGGGTGGGTTGTTTCCTGTTTACTAACATGTTGGTTCCTGATTCTTATCTTCTTTATTTTTCCACAAATCTAATTTAATTGGTCAAGTATAGGGCTCAGAGTGTAGTTTTTTGTGAACCCATAAAACACAAAACCAAACAATAAAAAGCTCTCAGATGACATCAATGCACAAGCAGAGCCAAGAACCACTGGGCTAAGGAGGGCATCCCCAGGCATCGAAAGGACACTGAGCCACTGTGAAATGCTTGGCAGATGTGGCCCCCAAGGTGGGTCTTACTCTAAAGAGTGATGGTTGGCAAACTTCATGATTGCTCATGTTTGTCTCTCAGTTTCTAATGGACAAACAGACTTGGAGAGCTTTACTTCACTTCCTGGCAAATGCCTTCTTCCACCTCTCCGACCCAGACCAGTACTTACATTTTATTCTCTCTTTACTCGACTTCCATTTCCCCAACAAGGGTGCTGGTTTGTGGAAGGAAAGGCAGGGTTGGGTCTCTCATTACTTTCTTCAACATTTGCCTGCTTAACTCTCTCCAAAAATGCACTTCCTCACCATTCCCTGGCATCTTGGGGGCTGTGTCAGGTAGACTCCATGAAGCTCTACTGACAACTTAGAATCTTACATTGTTGCCTGTGCCTTGTTCTATATCTGCTCTATTTGGGGGTACAGACAGAGGGAGCCAACTATCCCTGCAGATGAGGATGTGGACACTGAAATTATTCCCAAACAGCTAGTCATAGTAATAATGCAGAGCAGAGAGACTTGCAGTCAGTTTTATTATTGTTCATAAATTATCTACAAACAATACACATCTAATGGACTGCCAGAAGTAGACCACCCTACTGGTGGCTCTTGGCACCCATTGGTGCCTGGAGGACAGTGTGAGTGTCTGACTTTGTTTTCAAGTGACAAGTTATGAAATGAAGGAATGTTGTCAAGACCCTGGATGATGGACTAACTCACTCCATGTGTCTTATTCCCAACAGTTTTATTCTGACTAATGGGCTAGATATTTGTGCTACTAAAGGGAAACATAAATGAAAGACTATTTTGTTGCATTTTACTACAAATGTGTAATAATAAATGTGACTGTCAGGCAAAAGGTACATTTTTGTCTTGCTGTTCTAAGAAAGCTTCAAGTTTTGCTATAAACAAAAGAAACAAAATAAAAAAATCTTCATTAAAATCGCAAGATTTCTACATAGGCTTGTGCTTTAAAAAAAAGATTTGTTTTTGGTTTTTAAGTGTGTGTGTGTGTGTGTGTGTGTGTGTGTGTGTGTATGTATACACATTCTCACAGTGAGGGCAGGTGCCTGCAGAGTCCAGAGGCCTCAGATGTCCCTGAAGCTGGAATTAGAAGCAGCTGTGATTCCCCCAACCACACACACACACACACACAAGAGAGAGAGAGAGAGAGAGAGAGGGAGGGAGAAGAGACAGAGAGAGAGAGAGAGAGGGAGAGAGAGAGAGACCCACACCCATTACCCCCCCCCACACACACACACACACATACACGATACTGGAAATAAAACTCTGGTCATTTGCAGTGTGCTCTCTTCACTGTTGCGCCATCTCCCACCCTGTGTTGTTATGGAGCTCATGCTGGTTTCAAACCCAAGATCCTCCTGCCTCAGCCTTCCAAATCCTGGGATTACAGGTATGTGCCACCATGCTTGGCCTCACACATCTGTTTTCATGTTGAGCCCGGTATTTAAATAAACACTAGATGATGTAACTCTGCCTGATGACACGACTCTATTCCAAAATCTCTGCCTTAGCCTTTGCACTCACTTTTCTATGAATCACTACTTGCTTTATTTTGAAATTCCTCTGTAACAAATTTTAATTCTTCAAAGAAATTGCTTCTTCCTGTGGGAAAAAGTCTTGGTGCAATGTTCATACTGAAGCAAAATCATTTCTTTCTGTCTTTAGAATATTCTAGAAACAAATCCATTTGCCTACCTCAGACAAGAGGGATGTTTCTGCATCTACGGAAAGGTTCATGTCATTGTCATGTAAGTAGAAAAACAATGAAGCTTTGGAATTATACTTCCCTGTGATCAATGGGAGCGTATACTTCAGTGTCACCATGTTGTCATTTATTTTGGAAACAAGAAAAGGTTTTGCCTGGAGTCAGAGCTAGGGGGCAGAGAATGTGGCGCAGGTTCCAGATTCTCCCGGCGCTACAGCAGATGCAGCTGTGTCAGCCCACGCATGTGGGGTTGGTACCAGACTTGGGAACATCAAAAATAGTACATCTCAAAGTTGTGGGGCTAGGTTTAGAGATGAGGAATTATAGAGACATAAGGGGAACATTAACTTTCTATTTTATAACTAATGTTTTGAGCCAGAAGCAATAAAACTTTCCTTTTCAGATTCATAGTAAGTGGATGAGAACTCCATTTTGGGAAATTTTGTTTCCTTTTCTGATACCATGTGCTCATATATCAAGGGCGCTCAGAGGAATTGGCGGCTATCGCAGACTGCCTTCTATAGGACTATGAATGCCTTTTTGAACAAGAGGTCAGACAGTGATTCTGTCCTGCTCCTACCCTTGGCTAGAAAAGCATAGGGAGGTCTCTGGAGTGGCTCCCTGTCCTCCCCTGAGTTACAACCCAGCTGCTCTCATCTCAGGGGGCAATTCCTCCAGTCTAAATCCCCAGACCCCCTCAACTAGTTTCTAGTCCTTTACCCTTATTTTCATGGGGTAAAGAGACTCCATCTCTCCTTTCCCATTCTAGAAAATTCTTACACATTGTTCAGCCTCCTCAACTACACTGCCTTATAGGTGACACCTGTGAAGTCTTCTTCCGAGTCCTAACCTAAGCACACGATTCAGTGGGGCCCCTGCATGTACAACCTGAGCCCCGGAGCACATGATTCAGTACATACAATCAACTGCAAATCTCCAGGGTGTGGTCTAGCACCTGGCCTATTAGAGGGACTCTGTACATGAGGGATGGAGTGAGTGAATGGATTCCTACCCTTCAACCACAGTACTGGACACTCTGCTTTCCACTCTGGTCCTGATCCCCAGAGTTCTCTCCTTGCCTGAGTTTCTGCTTGCCTATCTTGACCTCCACTGTCTGTACCTACTACTCAGCAGGCTCTTAGCCCCGCAGTGGGCATTGCACCTGATTTGGATGGTGGCCAACAATCCTTCTGCCTCACTTCTCTCTTTTCTACTTCCCCTAGAATGAACCTCTGCCCCTTTCTGTTAAATTCTCGCACATAAACCCATCCCTAAGGTAGACTAACCACATAGGTACCCTCTTCCTTGGGTCCTGTATCTCACCTTTTCCTAATGTCCCAGGCCAGTCCAGAATGCTTCATTGGGGTTCACCTTGCTTATGATTCATGTCTTCTCGCTCTCATAAACTAATCCTTTCCAATCCTTCATTATATATGAAGCCCTAGCAATGCTTATATAACATATACCTGGTGTGCTGGCTAGTTTTATGTCAACTTGACACAAAGTAAAGCCATCAGAGAGGAGGGAGCCTCAACTGAGAAAATGGCCCCATAAGAAGCTGTAGGTAGGGTCTATAAGGCATTTCCTTAATTAGTGATTGATGGGGGAGGACTCAGACCATTGCGGGTGGTGCCATCCCTGGGCTCATGGTCTAGGGTCCTATAAGAAAGCAGGCTGGACAAGCAATGAGGAGCAAGCCAGTAAGCAGCATCCCTCCTTGGCCTCTGTATCAGTTCCTGCCTCCAGGTTCCTGTCCTGTTTGAGTTCCTGCTTTGACTTCCTTCAGTAATGAACAGTAACGTGGAAGGGTAAGCCAAATAAACCCTTTCCTCCCAAGCTGCTTTGGTTATGACATTTCATTTCTGCAGTAGTCACCCTGACAAAGACACCTGTAAATGCAGCTCAAATGGATTCATTAACCCTACTTGTGCTTTAAGCCAATGTTGAGAAACATTTTGTTTTCCCTACTCTGACTTGCCTTCTGTTCAAATAGAGTTCTGTGTAGCTTAAGCTGTGTGTCTGCCTGCAGCTCTGACAGAGTAGGGCACTCCTACTGGCAACAGGCTCTCTGCACTGGACAGTCCCCAGGCATCCGAAAGCATCAGTCTCCAGACCCAGGAACCTTCTCAGTTCACATTACCGCTAATCTTTGGGGACCTCCCAGCTCATCCGCTGGTGAAGACAGTCTGTGGGGAGTCCTGTGATGGAGCTCTTTTACTTTGTTCTTTTAACAAAATGTATTTAAAGTCCCATTTAGCGTGCCAGGGAAGGAGAAGCCGCTTCCCAGCACACTTCCTCCTAACTCTCCACACTCCTCTGTGGGCAGCAGACTGGCTCCCCCCACGGCTCTCCAGGCTCCTCTGACAGCTGGCACACTTCTGATGGATGAGAAGGTCTTATTTGCTGCAGAGATTTTTTTTTTAACTCCGTGCAAACCTTTATATATATCATAAATTTTTAATATCCAATTTGGAGTCTTCAAAGAATAATGGTAACAAATATGCAACATGAAGATAATGGGAACTCAATCATGTTTATGGTTTCCATGAGCATCTGAAAGACGCAGGGGTGGAACTGCTCAGAGCCACAAAAGCACTGGATAGCTTATGCCTGATTAATGGTCGCCCTTCTTGGGGGCCCTAAAGGGTTACACAACAGTTACAGTGAGCGGCAAAGTCCACACCAGCCTGGAACACAACTGCCATGCAAACTGGGATACATCACGCTCACCCCAGCACAGCAGTGTGCTGCAGGGTCATCAGAGTGGTTTCTAAGTGGTTCAAAAAACCTCTGTTTTTACTTTTCATTTTTAAATCCATTTTTCCTCTATTGGACAGGTGAGCCTTCTGCATTTATCTTCACTGCTCTTTGTTAGACCACATAAATGTCTTTGTCTGGTGAGAACTGCTATTTCAAAATGTCCACAGTGAGCCCCAGCATACAGTTCCTTTCTGCAATTCTCTGTTACAGCTGTGCGACCATCACACCCTGGCAGTTCCTGATTATCCAGGACCTTAATCCACATTGGATTATCCCAGCTCCTTGATTGTTCCCCTCCCCCTTGGCCACCTCCGCCCACCGCCTGCCTTTTGGCTTTTTCACTATTCATTTGCATCTATTACCCAGGGACCTGAGAGAGGGAAACAAAAGGCAGGCAAACAGAAATGGTTCCACTTTGCTACCGGTTGGCACCCATAAAATGCTTAAATAATTGGCCTCCTAGAGACATTGCAGTCGGTGCTTTTATCCCATCCTCTCAAATCATTGGGCAGAAGGGGGCTGGGTGCATATCTGTGTGTGCAGACCTCATGGTGGACCTGAGAAGTCAGAGGAAATATGAAACAGGAGAGGGCTGCAAGGAGACTCCGGGACCCCATCTGCAAGGCTCAAAGGGGATCCAGACATTCTAGAGGGGCGTCATTATCTACAAGATGTCTTCCCCCAGAAACAGCCCAGTCCCAAATGAGATTAGGAAGTGTACAACTAACCAGGTTAAGAAATTGCTCTGGATGTTATCAGAGATTGCTAATAACAGCCAACATTTCTCCTCTCTTCTGCACACACCAGGCTCTATACCAGTTTCCCTGTAGTAACATATTTAACACAGGCAGCCACCCACCCCACCAAAAGAAAACCCTAGCAACAGTTACTATTGTTTCTGTTCTATTTATGAGGAAACTGAGTCAGAGAGGGGTAATATAATTTATGAGCCATACAGCTAACAAGTAAGTAGGACCAGAATTCACATCCAGGCAGTCTGGCTCTCGAGTCTAACTCCATAGATCCTGACTGCTTACTTCTCCTGGGCTGCCAGCTAAAGAAGTCCCTGTGTCGTAAGTTGTGAACACCAGTGTCACTAAATTGTGTGTGTGTGTGTGTGTGTGTGTGTGTGTGTGTGTGTGTGTCTGTCTGTCTGTCTGTCTGTCTGTCTGTCTGTGTGTGTGTATTCTCTTAATCCTTCTGTTTTTATTTCCCAGGACTGAATGAACCGAGGGAGTTAGGAAAGGGGGTGTTTGATATGACAGAGGTAGGGTGGGTGTCTGCAAAGAATTCAGGAAAAGAATGGTGAGTCCCTGTATCAGCGACTAAGAGAGAAGGAACTTCAAGTTTGATGAAAAACAATCTTTAAAGCAACTTCTTTATGCTCCTTTCAAGAAGGTTTGGTCATTAATTATGGCAGAGAGGTCCCTCAGTATCAGAAGAGACATGTCTGTGGAACTCACTCTCGGGATTTCCTTTGTGAGTTTCCAAAGCATCACCGGCTTTGGAATATTACCGATTTTTAACCCTGTAAGCCATGCTGAGCAGACCACAAAGGGCTCTGTGTCACAGTGTCTCATTCACTGCGGTATCCAAGCACAGCTGTAACTATGATTATCGTTCATATGAATCAGCTTAAGACACTGCTTACTCCCGGCTGAAGCAGAGACACTGAGAAAGCACTTGCTGAGGAGTAAACTTGGTTTGCTGTGATCATTCATGGAGGTATGGCTGTGATTCAGAGAGCCAAAGGCCAAGTGCCAGCCTCTCCTCAATCCACAATACCCTTCACCCCCAGAAGACAGATGTGGTAATGCAGGCAATGCAGGTGCATGGCTAATTAGCTCGGTTGCTGGGAAAACAATGCCAAAGGCTTGGATTGTGGTTCTGGGTGAGCTCACTTGCCTTGGGTCATGTTTACAGAACACAGCCCTCATGACACCTACCATGCCATGCATGTACAGTTCCAGGCAAAGGGACAATGGGCATTGGAAATCATGCTAGAGGATTTGGGTGAGCCTCAGTGCTCATTTCATTCTACTTCTGAAGAAACAACTCAGAGAGCATATCTGGTGAGGGTAGTCACAGGAGAGGTGTGACATGAAATGAACAGTCTTCTGAATTCATTTCTAAGGACTTGTAGAAATACTTGTAGAAATCAAAAGTATGATGTCACAACTATCATTAGTGATAATGTCTCCCCACTCGAATTAACAACTTTTTTTTTCTCTCACCAAAAGAAACTCCACCATGGGGGCCTAGATATGATAAAGTTAGCTGTATCTCTAGGTTCGCCGAAGCTGAACTCAGGCCATGTCCTCCCCATGTGACCACCAACCAACAGAGCAGGCTTGCAGAAGCCCCAAGGCTGATATTGGCTATCACACGTCTCTAGCAGCAGCTGTCCTACCAACTTCCATCTGGATGCCATTTCCCCACCACCTCAGCTCTTGGCTGCATCCTGCCTATGGCCCTACATTAGAACTTTTGTTCTAAATATTTGGCCCAGCCAGAGTGTGCTATCCTTTAGATGTGTCCTCTATCTTGACATCCTGGGCCTCACTGTGGCCTACCTTGTCTCTCTCTGATCACTGTTGTAGCCCGGGACATCCTATTAACTATGCCCCCAATAAAATTTCTCTGAAAAATACAATCTCTTTAGGAAGAAATAGAGAATGGCATACCACTTGTACAAACTTACAGTAGCCTGACCACAAAGAATAAAGCCCAGGGCCAGAGTGAATCTGCTTTTGCTGTGCATTGTGCACATAAATGTTCTGAGTACCATGTAGCGATACTATGATTTATGCCCATGGATACAGGAAAATGAGAAAGCTGGGGTGATGCATCCATTGGCTTGGCCCCCTGGGCTTTTTGGAGTGCAAAGCCCGGATGTCATTCCAAACATGCTGGTCTTCCTGACAGCTTCAATTACCATCCATGTGCCACTTGACCTGTTAACGGAGGTGTCACCAGGCTTAAAGAAGAAAAACTGCCTAAATTACCGTTCCCATACTTAGGACCAATCAACCTCTCAGCGGAGCTGACTGTAAAGATGGCGGCAGTATGGTGTCATAAATAAACGACCTCCGTTCAAATGATACTCTCTGGAGTCTTCATCTTAAGTCCCAGCCACTCTGCAGATGATGAATGGAGGTAATAAAAGTTGGGACTGTGGCATGTTTAAGTAGGAAAGACTCATTTAGGCAGAATTTGACTGGGGCTTATAGATGGCCCCATCGAAGCCCACTGTTGATCATCAAGCCCTGGTCTATTTTCAGAGGGCAATTTTACGTATTTCTTGCCTCTCTTTTATTGTTATTATTATTATTACTATTAAACTTTATATTAAGGGGGTACATTTTGTGATCAAAACCTAAGTGAAACAAGATAAAACATTGCCTGGGGTTCCATATCCCTTCTTGGCATAAATTGAGGATAATGAAGTGTTTCCACCCTGCAAACAGCCAGCCCCTTCTGTTTACTCTCTTCACTCAGAATCCCAATATATCAACTATCCACAGTCCCTTCAGGTGTCATGCACTGGAAGGAGGCTCTCAAGACTAGAGTCCACTAGGGAGCCACCATGCCCACCTCAGTGACCAGACACAAAGGATGAAAACTCTGTACAGTAGTTGCTTTTGCAATAGTAATAGTATTTCACTATTGTCCTGTGTTGGGTACTGTGCTGAGCCCCTTGCAGACTGAAGCTCATTAAAGCATCCAAAACCTTGACATGGTCTATAACCCACCACCTCCATGTCACAAAAGTGACTTCACTAAATCTCAAGTGCTTCAGAAGGCAAAGCTGGGTTGTACGCTGTTGGGTCACCAGGCACAGGTTGATGACTAACTCCAGACAGGGACAGTCAGCAGAGGATGCCCAGTGACAATGGGCAACAGAAACAGCAGGCATTATTAGAAAGAGGGCAGAGACATGGATCACTACCCATGTGCCCGTGGGGCATTGTGAGAGGGGGATCCTGCCTCTTGATTTTCCTCTTCAAAGTGAAGCTCTGATATCCAGCATAGCTCGATCGGAGGAGAGGCAGAGGAAGTGGCTCCTATTAGGAGGCTGAGGGCCAATGTGCGAGGCTAAAGGAGCACAGGCCACACAAGCACAGACGGGCTAGCAGACACAAGCTTCTGCCTCAGGATGGAAGGGAATGACTTCTTTGCACTTGAGGGTTGGGAAACAATGGGAGGAGAGAGAAGGCAGGGACTAGAGGTGTGGTGCCAGGTGCATGAAACCCTTCATGGAGCTGGGACAGAAGACACCCTGAAGTTGACAGACAGCTGAGGGTAGAGGTGGGGCTTACTCGACAGTGTCTTGCAGTTTCATTTGCATCCCACACAAATGGATGGCTATAGGACTCAAAGGTGAGGATGCAAATCTGTTCTCCCTGAGAGATGAAGGTGTGTTTTCAAAGACACCAAACTCCAGAGTGCAAACCTGTTCCTGTGAGTCTTGACTAACTGTGAAACAAACAAACAAAAACACTGGTTTGATTTGGAAAATAGTAAAAGGGGACTAAGGGCTACTGCTTGATAAAACAGTATGAGTCTTCCCTTTTTAACACAAGCAAGTAGAATTTACATGTAACCAAGTGTCCTAGTACAATTAACTTCCACTCCCTAAGTGATGAAAGGCCTTGTCTGAATCATAGGAATGTTTTGGGTGGCCCTATAAACTGTCATATGCACTGCACTATATTAATGCAGAACCACTAGATGTGACCAAGCAGAAACCAGACGGCACTGGTGAGGATGCTTACACAATGCTTTTCTCCACTTCTACCGTTCTTTGTTTTGTTCACCATTATTGAGCATTGAGCATTATTGAGCATTATTGAGGCCAGGAGTAGCAGGTAACTCGGGAAGTAGACACCTGAGATGAACTGCGTTCTGCTCACACTTTCAACACACTTTAACTTTTCAGGTCCAACAACAACAATGAAGCAAAAGATCCCTTGAAAAGGTTTATCCATACACAATCTAAAATGCACATCTGTCTCATTTAAATTTTTAAATTATCATAATTTTCTAAAGGTATATCAAGGCAACCTGCAAGGATAAAAGACATTCTCATAAGCAGGGTTATGATCAAGTTGGAAGCAAATTCCATGGAGGCAAGCACGTCATGTGTGGCTATGATGGCCAGTCTTTATTATCAATGTGACTGGACCAAGAATTATCTCAGGCTGGGCGAGACACTATTGGGTGTGTCTGTGATGGTGTTAAGGATTAACTGAGGTAGTGAGACCCATCCTGAATGTGGGGGTGACCATTGCAAGGGCTGGGGCCCCAGGCTGAATAAAAAGGGAAAGGGGGGAAAGCCAGACAAAGGCTTCCATCCCCCATTCAGATGGGGTAATCTATCACCTTTGAGCTGCTCCCTCTCACACCTTCCCCACTGTGCTGGGCTGAGCCTCCTCAAGCCTCGAGTCTACACAAGTATTTCCTCCCGGAAGTTGCTCCGGGTAAGATATTCTGTACAATATCAAGAAAGGTAACTTGATTGGGACATTTGCATACAGTGGTGATAACGCTTATTTGATGTCAACCCTGGGAGGGTGGAGGTGGGAACCTAAACCATGCCCCAGAGTAATACTCAATGGATGACAGTAACTTAAATGTCACAAATCTCTTTTTTTTTCCCTAGAGAGGAAAATATCAGCTGGCGGGAAGTAATGGGGATTCACATCTTTTCTCACATTGAAATTTTGATTAAAATTTAAGTTGTGTGCAGCTGAAAGAGTGTGATTAGGAATCACAGGCAGATGCCCATCGGGAGCCGCTGGCAAAGAGCCAAGGAGGTCTGGAAACGTGTACACACATGCACTAATCAGAATTCTAACGGTGCACACAGTGTGGCTGCAGCCCAAATGGAGAGACCATGTCTAGTCCTTTTGACATCGGATTGTTTATCTTGCTCCTACCCAGGCATCCTTCTGTCTCCATTTCTTCCCTTCGCCCTTCTGCTAATTTTGTGTGTGTGTGTGTGTGTCTGTGTGTGCACACAGGCATGTTTGTGCACATGTGTCATATCTTGTATGCAGAAGTCAGAGGACAAAGCATCAGGGTCCATTCTCCTCCCACCAAGTATGTAGGTTCTAGGGATCAAACTTGGTGTCCAGCGCTTCTACCCACTGTGCCATCTCAATGGCCCTCCCTCTTCTTTTCATCTCTTCTTAGGTGTTTCTTGCATATCATCTCCTTCAACAAACAACATCCCAACCCCACAGAGCTCCCACATGAGCAGCCCAGGATTCTTGGGTATTGCTTGCTATCCATCAAATTCTACATCCTTCATATTCTGCCAAAGAACTCAGCAAGCTTTTGATATTCATTTTTGTGGTTATCATTCACATCATTTCTCGTTATTCTGTATTCCCTATTATTAATATTACCCTGTATAAACACTGTCCCTAACCCAATAACAGAGTGTGTTCTTATCATTCTGTATATGTAAGCCAGGTGCACACAGATTGTGATTTTATATGCCTTTTCTAAGCTGACTAGTCCCATCAGTGACACCAGGGAATGGGGAAAACAAAGAGAGTGAGTGTCCAAACAACCTGATATTTGATTCACCACTTCGTAGAATGTGTGCAAATTAGCAAAATGTTTGTTTAAACTGGAAGACAAGGACTAACCCCAGGGCATTTACTGGGGTCTTTATTTGGTATAGAACTCAGCTCTAACTACTGCCTTTGAGGTTGGAGTTTAACAAGTATCATTGTTATGTCTTTATTTGCTTATTGGGGAATGCTACACGCCATAGGTCAGAGGATAACTTGGGGGTGGGGTAAGTTCTCTTCTATCACTTGGGTTCCTGAGATCAAACCCAGGTTGTCCAGCTTGGCAGCAAGCTCCTTTACCCACCGAGCCATCTCCATTGCTCCTGAGTTTGTTTTTAATTATTTATTTTTAATGTGCTCACATTTCCAGAACATACTTTGTTCTTTGTAATCCTTCAGTGTGACCCATCTCAGTAATTTCTCCTTCATCTAAGCAATCGGAAAGGCTTCCTTTTATTTCACTGATTGACTTCATCTTAATGTAAAATATCTTCCTGTACAAAACATCTTGATTTCTGGTTCTCCCTACCACTTCCCCCTGCCACAGGAAGCTACTGTGCAGGTACTACTCAGAGCTTACATTCATTTGTTTCTGAATATTACACCCTGCCCTCCTGGGTGTTAGGATCTGATGTCTGCAAAGATGTAATCAAAATGAAACTGTATTAGTTTAGATTAGTGTCTGTGGCAGCACTTCCGATAAATGATCCAGACAAGGCCGTAGCTATCATGTCTGTCTTGTTTCAGGAGAAATGAAAAATGACATCTTTGATGGAGAAGACTCCACAGAGACCAGAGTAGAAATGTGGCCTGTCCCTCTGCTTACAGAGCGCTCTCTTTCCCATCAGATGGCTGACAGGTGTGTAATCGTGTTCCTCAGGCACAGTTTGTGTTAAAATAACCAATTGCCAAATGAATGAGATTGAACTCCAGTGTGGCTGTCACCACCCTTGCAAAGGGACGCTGTATCATCCACAATACAGGGAGAGTCTGCTGTGACTTTTCCTTTGCCACTGATAAAGCCCAAGACTTTGAGGAGCCCCTCCTACACAACAGTGAATTCCATTAATTTCAAGGCATTTTCTTCCCTTTGACCTTTGGTTTAGAACAAAGATGTCAACATGTACCATAAATGCTCAGTCCTGTTTCCTGGGCAATACAACAACATCCTCAGCACTGCCTGTGATTATAACTGCTCATTCAGTCGGGTGTGGGTAGCAAGTACCAGCTAGCCCTGATTGACAGAGGGAAAACAAAGCCAGAGGAGGGCCACTTGTCTTTTCACCGCCTTTAACTCAGCCTGAATGTGTCACCTTCATATCTCATGGAGTACTGCCTACCAGAGCTGTGTCTCTGTCCAGCTAGATTTCCACATGAACAGGGCAGTCTCTGCATTGGTCTCCTCTTTCCTCTGGGGTGATGGTGACCTTTCACTAGACAAAACTGAGTGATAATACACAGGATAAACTGCCAAAGCCTTGTCATTCCAAGTAGATGGTCACCAAGTACAAGAATTCCCTAGACCCACTTATCAGTAATGTGGCAGTTCACAGAGAGTTCAGGAAGTACTCCAGATCATGCATAGAGTCAAGAGCAGTGACTTCTTTAGGACTCATGAAAATACAATCATTAACATCCCTTTCTATTGGCCAAAAGGTAGGCGTCGGCATGCTGAGAAAGCCTGTGAGAAACTTGAAGTCAGTGAACCAAGCGGAGACACTGACCCATTCACAATGGATTCACTACAATAGCACTGTTATTACCCTGACGAGGATCCTCATCACATGTAGACACACCCTGTCACTAGGCTTGTGGGTGGAGAGTGTTCTATCCTATGTTAGTGGCTGAGTTAAAGGAAAGTGAAAAAAAAAAAGGACAAATGAACGTTAACTTTCTAATAAAATCAAAGAGGTTATGGTTCTTTAAGCAGTCAACATCAAAGTGAAGTTTCCTGAATGTATGTATTTAGGCTGCGAGACAGAAGGATATGCAGCACCATCGTGTAAGTATAACCGAACACTCCTCACTCCTTCTCACCATGAAATCATACAGCATGAAGGGTGTTCTGCCGAGAGATTCTCCCACAAAGCTCAGACCAGTATTGCTTTCCTATGAAAATGCTAGTTGCACTGTGCCGTGTGGGAAATAAAAGACAATAACTGCGTAGGAGAGAGAAAAGGCACATCAACTGGCTTTCCCGCTCCTGTCATGTCCCCTCTGTAACTGATGAGTTTTTAACCACAGTCTTGCTAGTCTCATTAGCATAAGTACTAATTACTTCCTTTGCTCTCTTCCTGGAAGTTCAACTGGGATTCCATGTTTGTCTTAACAATGGCTGGTACAGGGCGTCAAGGCTCAGAGAGAAGGCCAGTAACAGGACTGTGTATGATTGGAACACAGAGACACAAGTCGAAAGAGGGAGGGAGAAGGCAGGCAGCTGCTGAATACCAGGCTCCTCTCCCCAGATGTGGTGAAGCCCAGGGCTGCATCCCCTCTCTCCTCTATTACTCTGGGTTCCTGGAACCTTGGCAGCGGCATCTCAAGTGAAAAGCACCCTGTGCAGCCCATATGGTGGAAAGAACCTGGTGAACTGAATGCATACTGCACTCCATACGCATTGTGTTTTAGCTCTGGGCCCAGCCGTGCTGCAAACACTTGCAAAATGGGAAACCTTCTGTGCAGTAAAAAAAAAAAATATGGACAAGAGAAGCTTAGACTCTGACTTACAAGATGCAACACTAGCCAAAAAAAAAAAATGTAAGGAAAAGTTAAGGCGCCTGCTTCATGCTCTGCAACAAAGACGCAGCCCAGCAAGGTGGGCTTGTGCAGGCAGCCTCCATTTCAGCCCCTCCTACTGTGTTTTAAAATCCATTGAGGGTCTTAGTCTCATGCACATAGTATCCTTGGGGAACCTCTGCTGGGATCCATCCAATGCTGCTCTGATTTTTTGTTTTTGTTGAAATGTTTGAAATTCATTTGGAAATTCTGATTTACTTGGTAGGGGACAGCAATGAAATCATTACCTTTATCCTCTCATCCCAAGGTCTTCAGCCCATTGTCCTGAAATGAGACACAACTGCCCTCCCAGTCACCAGCATCCCTTTCACTTCACAAGCATTTCTGGAAGCCAAATCTGATCCTGCTCAGGATGCAAAAGGCCCTCTATTTGGGACACACGAGGGGCAAGATGGGTTGTCTAGCCATTCTTTCTTTTCCATTCTTTTCCTGCCTTCTTCACTGTGATTTTTGAAAAACAACTCTTTCAAAACACCACTTAAAACCATGGATCTTCCTTTCTTTTCTCTTCGTGTTAAATATGTTAGGGGGAGAATGGAGGGGTCGAGAGATTTTTAATAAATGGAGACCATTTTCCAGGGGTCAGCACATGAAGGTTTCCAGCCTGCTGGGAATGGCTCTCCTGTTTCACAAATGAAGACACTAAGCCGTAGCCAGGGGATCCAACGGGAGGCACAGATATAAATTATAGCACAGGATTCTTCACAGGGTACTGACAGGTTAAAGTACAAAAGGAAGAGGGCAGAGGGTACCTGAGAAACACCCAGCAGTGTCCTGATAACCCGAAGGCTGCTGCTTCTCATCCAAGGACCGTCAGGGCTCTTTGGTGTACTGAAACAGCCAGTGTGAGGAGCATCCGGCTCACAGCGCTGAAGTCTGTGCTGCTCCCAACCTAATTTATTCTGTGTGTGGAACTTGTGATTTCATTTCTGTGTTGTTTAGAACCATCTCCTCTCACAAATGTTAGGAGTGACAGAAGTCAACCCCAAACTGGTGGGAAGTTTAGAGTTGCCTGAGGCATGCTTTGGCTTATTTGAGTCAGTTGTTCATTTTCAATATGGTTTTAGTTTGTGAAATTGCTAGAAACATTAAAATACATATTTACTAGATTGTGTTTTATAAGGACTCCACAGGCGATTTTACCACACTTCCATTGTTCATCGAAATTCTTGCCCAGATTTATGTTTCTTTGTTGTGTTTTGTGTGTGTGTGTGTGTGTGTGACTAGCTTTTTTAAAAATAAGTTGAAATATGCAGACAATATAACAAAGCCAATAACTAGAAATGTCTCTTGCCACTTAATTCTATTTATTAATGATAGTGTATGATAAATATTACTGGTTCATTTGAAATTCTGGGTGATCAAAAGCTCCGACTCTTTCCTGATGCTCTTACGTTTCCTAATTCTGCAGTACAGGAGAAAGGGAAGCCTCCTGAACCAGGAAAGACTCAGAGCTTTGGACCATCCTTTATGTCTGCCACAGTGCTAGACTCATATACAATAAATATCAGGCAGTGGACTTGAGACATCAATCAATGTGTCTGCCCACCACACCCCCTTCCGAGGGGTGGTGTGACCATTTTTTTTTTTTGCACATAATCCATCCTGAGCATACTAGAACAATATTAGACATGTGATCCAAGGGGAGCCACTAGGTGAGGTGTCCAACAATCCATGATACATCCTGTTGTCAGGTGATTACCTGACTCAATCAAATGCTCCCCCTCAGGAGCACGAACTAGACTATGCCAAGAGAATGCAACAGGTAAGGACGTGAACTGAGCTGAAGATCAGGGTTGGATGTGGATGAAGAGGCCATGGTGGATGCTGAGGTGACACAGGCGGAACTATGGGGAAGAAAGACATGTAGCCTATCCACACCGGGGGAAAACACGGACGGGACAGATAACCAGAGAAAGGCAGAAATATCATGAGAAGTGGTGAGGTGGAGAGAAGCCCTCTTTCCTGAAGAGCCTGGCCTCCCCTTCACATGTCACGGCGCTTGTTTTCCCTGCCCACACTGGAGTAAGGGGAAGACACCACATCCTCGAGAGCAGACAGTGAAGGGATATGAAAGCATGATGCTCTCACCCCAAATCTCCAGCCCAGCCCAGCCCAGTCCAGAGGGCGGGGTCTCCACAAAGAGAAGGCTGGGGAAGGTGTCAGGGCTAAGGGTCAACTGAAATCCCCACCAAACACATGGACTAGATGATGCCGTATTGTTTTCGTCAACAGCAGAGCCTGCATGCATTCTATTTTTGATGGGAAATCAGCTGATTAGTTCCCCACCCATCACCCTTCTGGGTGTCTGTCATTTCCAATTTATGAAAGTGGCAGATGTCAGCTTTCTGAACAGGGGACAATTTTTAAAACTTTGTTTGTACACAGAAACTGACACAAAGTGAGCAGAAACCCACTGGGGAAGCACAAGGTTGTACTTCCTGTAGCAACAGGAAAGCTTTTCTTCACACTGCCCACCCCACCCCTACACCTACACATACCCCTACTCCTCCCACCCCCACCCTGCATCCCCCCACCAGGACAGGTAGGAGGAGTCCTGATGCCTTTCTACTTCAGCTCTGTGTTCTGTGTGCTCCTGGTTTGGAGCTGCCTGAAAATGTTCTGAGTCTGGCCAATACAACTGAACACTTGGTGACTCAGGTTCACTTCGAATTTTTTCCCAGTCTCTCTGGCTTAGCACTAATACCTAGAGTTTAGACACACATTTTATAGTCTAATAGAACCTTGTTGTTTAGTTTAAGGGTTTTAGTTACTATGATTCATTCATCCTATTTATTTCCAGAACGATACCCAATGTCCAGGAAAGTATTAAAGGATAAAGAGGATCACTGTCTAGAATTCTGCCTCTTTCCCTTGGTCTCCACCCACCAATACAGTTCATATCTATCAACCCAGGAACCCTGGAAAGCGAGTGTCAGCCTGAGTTACCTCCTACCTAGATGACCATATGAGAAGCAGACCTATTTTCTTAGCATCTCCTCTCTCAGTGTGACAAACACACACACTCACACACTTACATCTACACATACTCATACATATATATACTCACATACACACACACTCACATACATACACACACATACACACACACTCACACACACACACACACACACACACACACACACACACACACACACACGATTTGGATCAGATATTTTTCAGCCTTGCATTGAATTCAGAGAAGCCAGCACAAGAAGAGATGAGGGACAGTAGGCCATCGTGAGGATGACTTGGCCTTGGTCAGACTGATCCTGCAAAGACATCCCTGTGAGGACAGGTTTTAAAGTAGATAAAGACAGAGAGGACTCAGTGAGGCCTGAAAGAGACTCTGGGACTCGTAGATAACTAGGCCCTGCTTCTGGTTACCTATGGCAGCCAGTTTGCTTCATTAAATATCATTGTATCTTCAGAAGTCATCTTGGGGTTCCCTTGCCCTTCAAATGACAAGGAGACTTTACTTCTTCATGACAGCATCAGTTGAAATGTCACAGATTGATCTCGTCACATAATCCAAGCTAAAGGAAAAACATTGACCATCTGAAAACTTCCGTTGCTAGCATCTCAACGCCAGCTTTCAAAGCCCTCCCGACTCTCTCTCTCTCTCTCTTGCCCTCTCTGTTTTGATCCACTGCCCTTTCAGGCAGTGCCGCTGTTTTCTTTAGCAAACCAAGGCAGTTTGTTTCTGAGTTAAATGTCACTTCAGTATTTCCCCAAGTGAGATGTTTGAGCTGGTTTACAGGTTTCCTAAGCAACAGAGAAATGCTGGAAAAAATATTTGGTATCTCAGGTCTACAAGTTGCCCTAACTTTGACTCCCCAAAGCGAAAGAAACAGATAGAATGAGAACCTCCATCCTACTGTATTTTCAAATAAAACAATAAGAAGCCTAGCTGCACTGGGCTCTAAAAGACAGTCTCCTGAAGGCTTGGGACTTGGGTTTTATGCCCCCAGTTTTTGATGCTGGTGACAGTGAGACACAGAATTGCTTCACAAACCTGGAATCATGGCATTATAGTCAATGACTCATGTGTGAGGTGGGGAAGGGGCCTCCCCAGGCAAGCACAGATTCAGGAAGGAAATTCCTGGGAGAACCAGGATTATGCCCCGAAGGCTGAGGTTTGATTAACCTTCTTGTAGCATGTGTAACGACAAATGTTATTGGTCATAAAATTATCCAGCCCTTATTAAAACACAGCTGCAGCCCTGGGCTCAATCACCTCCTGAGGGGGAGATTTCTATAAGATAGTGGTAGATTTCATGGAATAAGGGCCCCTTCCCAGCGTCAAGACTACAGGAGAGTGTTTCACATTTTAATGAGGAGTTCTTGAGAAAGACCAGGCTCCTTCGAATTAAAAGATTTAAGAAATGGAAGGGCCAGATTACATTCAGTCTGCTACTTGATGGGCAGCCGTCCTACAGCCCACACTATGGATGCAACTTCAACAGAGGGGCTCACACATCTGTTTACTCAGAGTCACACTTACACAGACACACCATTTTTTGTATCCAAACATTTCCATTTCTCTTTGTCTTATTTAAGCATAGAAGCTCAGAATTTGAAGGAAATTTAGACTCTCTGGTTCAATTATCCACCACACATTACCATTCCATAGAAACTACACAAAAATGGAAATCAGTTTCCCTGCCCCAGGGGCTCCATAACTCTTCAAGAAATTGCCAAGAGCCGAGTCCTCCCAGCAGCTAATGCTGGTCAGCTCTCTGTATGAAGTCGTGGGGAACTCCCTCAGCTTACCTGAATCTTCCACTCCTGAGGCTCTGGGCCTTACAAATAATATCCGATGAAGGGAGGGAGCATCTCAGAGAACACTGGATAACACCTTGTTGAGTGTTATAGGTTTCTGTTTTAGTAATAAAATAACAGTGGGTGTCTCTTCTCTTCTGTGGTTAGGTCTGCGCTATTTCTCTTACTTCCCTTTCACATGGGCCACAAAGCTGGCTATCTGAAACAGTGCCTCTCCATGAACTGTTGGACTTCCTTCTAGAAATTCTCTCCTAAGGAACAGTGCATCCCCACTTCAGTGTTTTCTAAGGGTGACCACTGAGTTGCACCTCATTAATTTTTTAGGGATATAAATTTCCTAATCATAAAAGTATTTTTATCCCATTATATAAATTTGCCAATGACAAAACAGTTTTCCTCAGATAATGTAAAGATTTCTGGGTGAAATTATGGAACATCAAATCCCCACAGTCTTACTCTTTTTTCTTACACATACAAATATTTTAATACTATTTTATCATCCTTAACTTTTTATGATGGGGCTGGGGCTGGGGTTGGGGCTGGAGGATGGGGGTGGTTCAGTGGTGGGCTTGCTGTGCAAGTGTGAGGACTGAGTTCAAATCCTTAGTAGCCAGGTAAAAAGCTGAGCATAACTTGGGTGCCTGTAATTTCAATATTGAGAGACAGAGTAAGACCCCAGGAGCTTGCTGGGCAGTCAGCCTATCTCAAATGCAAGCTTCTGATTCTGTTAGAAACACTGTCTTAAAGCAATAAGGCAGATAGAGGAAGACACCCAACATCTTTCTGTAGCCTCAGCATGCCAATGTACATTTGCACGCTTGCATGCTATGTGTATGCAACACACGCATATACCCACATGCACATACATGCATATGTGCACACACACTCTGAAAACTCTCTTTAAAA